TGCCTTAATCCCTGTATCCCAGAGACCTGTTGTTGGACCTTTAGTCTTTTGCACTAATTATTTCCTTGAGCCTTTGATTTTCTTCACTGTTCTTTGCCTTGCATGGGAAGAGACCAATAGTTGTGTCTTAGATGGCTACTTGTAAGCTTTTAAGGTCCCAGTCAGTACTTACCAAAGTAGGATGTAGAATATGGTCTTTATGGACTATGTTATGCCTGTTGGCTTAGATATGTCCTGGGACTTTGGTCCTAAGACCTGAAGCATAGTGACTCAGTCACTCAAGTTGTTTGGTTATGGCTAAGAAACTTGCAAAGTTTTGCTCCTATATGTTCCTCTATATACCTGCATATATTTATAGCACATGCAAATACATATTTGGCAATATCCTGGGACCAAACCTGTAAAATTCGCATGGTGTACTCCATAACTCATCCCACAACTTATTTAGCTTAATCTCTGTGTAACCACTCTTTGTTTTTATAGTTCTTGCAGGGTTGTATGTTGTTGTTGTTAAGTACTGTCGAGTTAGTTCCCACCCATAGCAACCCTGTATAGGGTCTCCGAGCTGCTGGTGACCTTGAACCACCGACTTTACAGTTGAAACTGACTTTGCAGTGCAGTGCATTAACCCACAACGCCACACATTGTAGTAGTATTTACTGTTGTTGCCTTGTCCTTTGATGTTCCTCCCAGTGCCTTCCTTTGCCTTGGTCATGCTCTGCTGACCTCCCCTTATTGTATATATTGCCTTTCCTTTCATGTAAGTTGATACATGTCCTGATGTGGTGCTGTTGGCTAAGCAGTGGACTGATAACCACAAGTTTGGTGGTTCAAACCCACCAAGCACTCCTCTGAAACCCTATACAGGGTCTCTGAGTTGGAACCAACTTGACGGTACTTAACAGCTATTTAGGTAATGGTTGTTCCCTGCCTCCCTCTTCCATCCCTAGTAACCATCAAAGAGTTTTGCTTTCTGCCATAAACCCTTTCTTGACTTTTACGATCATGGTTTCATATGATGTTTGTCCTTTTGTGGTTGTCCTTTCAACCTTTTATGTCAAGTTAAATTAAGAAAATTGTTCATCAAAAGATTTAGTCCTTCATTTACTTAAGAAAAACTCCTGTCAGAGTACACAAAGAATTATAAATAAATGAAAAGTCAAATTATTCTCCATTCTTACTTCAGACAAGTGAACTCCTGTTTTGTTTCCTCAGGGATTTTTGCCAAACCTGACCATGTTAAGATGACATATCCAGAAACTCAGCTTCATCATTCCCTGCCCTTATTGTTGATTTGTGACAATCTCCGTGACCCTGGGAACCTGGGGACAATTCTGAGATCTGCTGCTGGGGCAGGCTGCACCAAAGTCCTACTCACCAAAGGTAAGGGCCATTTCCTTCATCAAAACTTCTCTTTATGTTACATGTATAAGCTGAAGAGAACCCAGCCTAAGACAGTAGCATGTGGGGATTACAATAGAAAAAGATGAAAGAGAATTAGCTCTACTGATCAGTATGGGTTGCACTTTAAAGTAAAGAAAACAAAGTCCTCACTACTGGACCAATAAATAACATGAGAAATGGTGAAAGGATTGAAGTCATCAGAGACTTGGATCCACAATCGACACTTAAGGAAGCAGCAGTTAAGAAATCAGATGATGTGTTGCATATAGCAAATCTGCTGTAAAAGACCAACTTAAAGTGTTCAAGAGCATAGATGTCAGTTTGAGGATTGAGTTGCACCCCGAGCCATGGCATTTTTAGTTGCTTCATATGCATGTGAAAGGTAAGGAAAACCAGAGAAGACTCAGTGTGTTTGAATTATGATGCTGGAGAAGACTACTGAAAGTACTACGGACTGCCAAAAGAATGAACAAAATCTGTTGTGGAAGAAGTAGAGCCAGAGTGTTCTTTTGAAGTGATGCTGGTGAGACTTTTGTCTTGTACTTTGGACATGTTATCAAGAAGGACCAGTACCTGGATAAGGATATTATGTTTGGTGGAGAGTCAATGATTCTGAGGATGCCTCAAACACAAACTCTTTGAAGCCCCTGTGTAAACGTCATCTTGTTGTTGTTGTTGTTAAGTGCTGTCGAGTCAGTTTCGACCCATAGCGACCCTGTACAGGGTTTCCAAGGGTGTAAATCTTTACGGGAGTAGAAAGCCTCATCTTTCTCGCGTGGAGCGGCTGGTAGTTTCGAACCGCTGACCTTAAGGTTCGCAGCCTGATTCGTAACCACTATGCTACCAGAGCTCCTTAAACGTCATCTAGGCCTATGAAAATAAATAAAAATTCACTGTCATGAAGTCAGTTCTGAGTCGTTGTTGTTGTTAAGTACCGTGGAGTCGGTTCCGACTCATAGTGACCCTGCACAGGGTTTCCAAGGCTGTAAATCTTTATGGGAGCACAAGTGGCCTTTTATAGGGCTTCCGAGACTATAAATATTTATAGGGTCAGACAGCCTCGTTTTTGTCCGGCAGAGTGACTGGTGTTTCAAGTGGCTCACTTGACTGTTGGCAACCTGGTCCCACCAGGCATCCTTCTTCCAGGCCCATAGGCTTCACTGATAAATTCTTGGGAACATTTAAGGAGAAAGAAACCAATTCTACACACTTCAGATAGCAAAAAAAGGAAAGAGCATTTCCTCTAAGTCACATGAGTTAATTCTCTTTCACGCTTTCTTTTCTTTCTTCCCAATCGCCCATGTCTCCATTTGCTGAACTAGTGGAGAGTTAGTTATAGTCTGTGGGACTTTGAGATTGTCTTAACATCACAATGTCTAAATCTTTGACCCATTGATTTTAGCATCCATTGATGATTCTTACCTGAGTGAAATGAGCTTTAATTTTTTTGTTTCTATGGTTCTTTCTATGAGGGTAAGTCAAAAAGAATTTCTACTAGGGTTCCAGTTCATACATTTATAGTTTTATTCTTAACAAAGTGTATTTAAACATGTCTCTCATCAGTGGGTGACTGCAAACAAGTTCTCCCGCTTGCTTTAATCTCATTAGGGTGCCTTCAGAAAACCAGTCAAAGCTGACTTCTGAAGTTTTGTAACAAAAAGGGGCAGTAGTTAATCTTACAGTCCAGGAACAGAGGACCCTAGAGCCATCAAGGGAGAAGAGCATGAGTGGAATGTGGAACCCTGTCCAGAGAAGCAGTGACACCAGAGGTAGAGGCAAAGATGATGATGATATCGAGAGAGCAACTGAGGACTCCAGACTTATGGAAAGAGAAAGGCTGTTTGCTGGCGGCCAGGAGGCAGGCTTGAAGAATGTGCCCTTTGGTTCTTTAAATGATTATATATTCCTAAGTGTTTTTGTGTACATTTCCCACCCCCCAAAAAAAACAACCCCAAAGGGAATAGAAGCAAATACTGTTGAGTGATGATGCATGGAGGAGATTGTAATCATTGCAATGAAATGAGTGTAAAACTGATGTTCTCCCATGTAAACTATCTCTCAATTCACAACAAAGACTTACTGAAAAAAAAGAAAGCTGACTTCTGAGGGCCTCTGCTTTGTTGTTGTTGTTATGTGCTGTGGAGTCGGTTCCGACTCATAACAACTTTGCGTAGGGTTTCCAAGGCTGTAAATCTTTATGGGAGCAAAAAGCCTCATCTTTCTCCCACGGAACAGCTGGTAGTTTTGAACTGCTGACTGTGAGATTAGCAGCCTGATTCATAACCACTACGCTACCAGAGCTCCTTCTGGAACAATTAAATTCAAGTCGGACAGGTCATCTCAAAAGATTATGTATGACAACTATATTTTGGAAAATTCAAAGGGAACGCAAAGTCAGTGGTTCAAACTCAGTAGGGTCACTATACAGGGTCACTATGGAGAATATTGAAAGTGCCATGGACTGACAAAAGAACCAGTGGATCCATTTTGGAAGAAGTGCAGCCAGAATGCTCCTTGGAGGCCAAGATGGCCAAACTTCATCTCTCATCTGTCAAGAAGGACCAGTCACTGGAGAAGGATATCGTGTTTGGTAAGGTGGAGGGTCAGAGAAAAAGAGGAAGACCCCCAACTAGATGGATTGGCCAAGTGACAGCACTGATGGACTCAAGCGTGGCAACAGTAGTGAGGTTGGCCCAGGATCGGGCAGTGTTTCGTTGTGCTGTGCATAAGGTTGCTATGAGTCGGTACCAACTCGATGGCACCTAAAATAACAACAATGAATACTATGGCACTTAACAACAACAAATTTTGGTAAATTTTCTCAAAGGACACAGGATGATTATGGAGGCTTCCTAGAAAGAAGCTTTAAGAAAATGGAAAACTGCATTGGTAAGAGAAAGGCCATAAAGGAATTTTTTCCCATCACAATAGTGCACTTGCTCATTCTTCAGGGGTAGCAGGTGCATTCTGTCTTACAGGAATTTCATTGAGAACTCTTATCCCATCTACCCTACACCCCTGATCTTGCCCCTTCAGACTTCTTTTTGTTCCCCTAACTCAAAGACCATTTAAAAGGAACATGATTTGAGTCCCTGGAGAAGGCCTCAACTGCTGTTTTGATGTGATGTAAGTGGAAAAGCACAGAATTCTTTGAAGAAGGGTTAGAGATGGAAACATAGCCTTCAGAATTATATAGGCCTAGATGGAGAGGCTATGTTGAGGAACAGTAGTATCATATTTTATTATTTTTGTTTAATAAAGGTTTCTATGATTTTATGGAGTCCTGGTATGGCACTATAGGATAAGCTCTGGACTGTCAACTGCAAGATCAGTGGCTCAAACACTGTATGGTGGTGGTGGTGGTGAGCATGTGCTGTGGAGTCGGTTCCAACTCATAGTGACCCTGTACAGGGTTTCTGAGGCTGTAAATCTTTACGGGAGCAGACAACCTCGTCTTTCTCCTGCGGAACAGCTGGTGGTTTTGAATTGCTGACCTTGAGGTACTCAGCCCAGTTCGTAACCACTACACTACCAGAGCTCCTGCAAACACTATATGGGATCACTGATTTGGAACTGACTTGCTGGCGTTTAACAACAGGCTATTAAAGAACTTAAAGTGAATCAAGGGAAAGCAACAGGTGCCAATTTTCACACTTGGTTTCAGGTTTCTTATGTAATAATCTTGACTTCCTAGATTGTTGGGTATGTGCGGTCTTACTAACCCTGGACATTCTGGGAACCCTGCAAATGGGATGATTATTAAGTGATGAGACATATCCCTTGGCCTCACACACCAATTAGCCTCATTACATTTCTGTTTCTTCTCATCGTAAAGAAGTAATAGCTTTGGTTCTAAGCATACTTGTCTAACAGCTGGGCCTATTACAACTTGTGGGGAGGGTAGGCGGGGAAGTATCATTCCTCAGAATCACCAGGTTATCATTATATGTACCCATATCATAGCACCCATTGCTGAGATTTACTTAAATTGCTCCTTCTAACTTACCGTAGCCTCACCTTGTTGGAGTACATTCCTTGGTTGGTCTGATAGCTGGGTGCTGGGCTTTCATTGTTAGAATCCACTTAAATGCCACACACACAACACACACACACACACACACACACATCATTTATTGAGCACTCTTGAGAATGGGTGTGGCTTAGGAAGTATCTGTTATAACCCTCACTGATTTTCACGTCAATGCTGGTGGCTGCTGTATAAGAGATAGAGAAGAAAGAGTAGAAAACACTAGGGCGGGTGTCTGTATCAAGGACACAAAGGGGTAACTCTCATCTCATCCGTACTCCCCACCATGCAGCAGGGTCTGGGCCCCTCTTCTGTCTGGTTCCCCTACCTCTTGGCATACATCCCTGTCCCCGTGTCTGGTTCCCCTACTTCTTGACATACATCTCTCCTCCCGTGTCTGGTTCCCCACAGTGACTGGGAGAAACCACGGTTGGGTATGTGTGGGCATTGTGACAGCTCCACCTCTTGTCTTATTCCCCTGAAGTTTGATAGATGAATTCTGTAAGTAATTCGTAGTGAGGAAGTGCCTCGTGCATTGGCTGTTTCCGGACACATGAAGGAAGGGCAGGGGGAAGTGCCTTCCTTTCATGTGTCTGGAAACGGCTAATGCATAGAAGGGGTTGGGTTTAGTGCAGGACTGTACTATAAAAGAACTGGTCCTTCTGTGTGCCCTTTCCTTAGGATGCTGTGGGGGAGTGTACGTGTGAATGACGCCACTGCTCTCCCAGCCCTGGGTCTCATTTCTTCCTAGATGGCTGCAGTTGCCTCGTTATGTCGTCATTTCTAGTGTCTTCCCTGCTCCAATAGAGAGTCAGCATTGCTACCAGATGAGTCATTCTAAAACATATATCAAATTATCCCTCCTTTAGTGAAAATCCTGCAGGGGAATGATACCGCTTTCAGAATAAAATCCCAGATTCCTTGAACTGGCATTCCCTGTCTCTTTTAAATGGATCTTTCTCTACCACACTCCCTTCCTTTAATTGGTTGGTGACTTTACTTCTAGATGTTGGACTATAGCTAGCTTTCCCCCTTTCTTAAATTTGACCCCCACCTGGCCCTTCCTCTAACAAGCTCTGACTAACCATCAAGATCAGCAGTGTCATATTCTCCTAGGTATCTTCCCCTGCTTTGTACCAGGATTTTCTATTGCCCTGTTAATGTTTGGTTTATTACTGGTACCCTAGTTGTCACTTGTATGAACTTCATCCCAACCTTACCGCACACTGCGCCAATGCTTTTCAGTGCTGTCAAGCTGGTTCCGACTCATAGCGACCTTGGCTGAGACCTCTGGGGAGCACTGATGGTTTTGAGCTGCTTAATTTGCAGGTAGCAGTCCAATGTTGATCCTACAGCGCCGCAACAGGACTCCAAGGGCTTTTGATTCTCTTTGCACACATATCTGGCACATGTGCCTGGTAATGTTAGAGCTATGAATAAAATCAGCTTTTAGCACTGGCAGAAATGAATCATAAAGTCCTTTGGCAGGATGCTGCTATTACTGGGGAAGCCTATGGTCTCATCTTGAGAGAAGGCCATATAACAAAATAACTTTGCTTTATCTCTTGTATCCAGATTAGTCTGACTTCCTCCAAAGGTCCCTAGTCAGGTACAGCTTTTCCAGCCTTGATTTCATCATGTCTTTTTATTTTCTAGGCTGTGTGGATGCCTGGGATCCCAAAGTGCTACGGGCAGGCATGGGCGCACACTTCCAGGTGCCCATTATCAACAATCTGGAATGGGAAGAAGTACCCAACTACCTGTCCACTGACACCCGGGTCTACGTGGCTGACAACTGTGGCCTTTATGCCCAGGCTCAGCGGTCTAACAAAGCCAGTGACCATGTATGTGACCGACGATTCCTGAAGCTTCATAAGTATGAGGAAGCGGAAGATACAGAAACAAGAGATAAGAAAGACTGGCTTCCTGACCTGGAGGTCCAGAGCTACGACCTGGACTGGACAAAAATGCCAGCGGCTGTTGTTATTGGTGGGGAGACCCATGGCGTAAGCCTGGAGTCTCTACAGTTGGCTGAGAGCACGGGGGGCAGGCGGTTGCTGATCCCCGTCGTGCCAGGTGTGGACAGCCTGAACTCAGCCATGGCTGCCAGCATCTTGCTTTTCGAAGGAAGAAGACAACTGCGGCTGAGGGAGGAACACGGGAGCAGGTGCAGGAGTTACCACTGAGAGTGGACATGGACATCCTTTCTCCATCCGAGGAGGGCTCTAGCTCCTCCCACGTCTGGAAAGGCTGTTAGGGCCCTGTGGGGTTGTGTGGACCTGGAGAGCAGTGTGGGAGCCGTGGAAGCCATTTTCTTCTCTCTGAGCTTCCCAGGCCCTATTTGGGGAACAAGAGATAGGCAGGATGCTAATATATAACGATTGAAAAATCAGAAACTCCACAAATCTGCTGAGACATATCCAAGGTCAGTATTCTTCCTGAGAGTCCCAGATCCTGACCAGTTTTAGCACTGTTCAATCATGCTTTTCCTAATGTGACACAACAAGCAGATGATCCCCGTGGCCTACATGGCACTCCATGTTCTTAAAATTGTCCACCAAGGACTACACTGGGGCCCAGAGCCTGCTGAGGCTACCTTGGGGAGGGAGGAATGATCCTGCAGTAGCTGGTGGGTGCTTTGCAGTCACTGAGCATGGTTCATCTGCCGTAGTTCTGGCTGTCACGTCACTTCGTCATGGGAGACATCAAGTCCTGTGCAGTGTGTGTGGAGCCAGCAGGTGCCATTAAAACGTGCTTGGTGTGAGTCGTGCCAGGGGTCTCTGCCTGTGTCTTACCCTTTGGCCTAGTGAAGAAGACACAGCCAAGAGATGACTGGACCAGGAGCGAAGGGCCCCTCAACAGCTAGCTCTTTTGGTTTGGATATGCCTGTCTTATTTATTCGGACCCTTGATGTAAATAGCCAGTGCTTATGTGCAACGTGATTTCCCCTTTTGATCAGCAGTGGGAAAAGCTGAATTGATCAGGTGGTGCCATGCCGTCCTAGCAGCCCTGCAGCTGTCTTTCTGCAGATTCCACATGCAGGGGAGGAGGAAACTTATTTTCAAAACCTTCACCACCCCCTTACATCCGTCAGGAAAGCTGCACCCTGTTGACTAGCTCCCAGCTGTTAGCCCTACTCAGTGATGTTTTAGTTCATTGATGACCCTGGTTACTTGCTGACTGGTGGTGGTAGTTATGTGCCTTCAAGTCGGTTCTGACTCATAGAGACCCTCTACAGAGTTTCCAAGGCTATACATCTTTATGGGAGCAGAAAGCTTAATTTTTCTTCCACGGAATGGCTGGTAGTTTCGAATAGCTGACCTTGAGAGTAGCAGCCTGACTCGTAACCACTGCTCAGGGAAATGCCAGGGCTTCCAGATTCCATGGGAACAGAGGCCTCGGAGCGCTCCTGCAGGGGGTGGGTAGTGCTGCAGCAGGACCCTGCCACTCTTCTGGCAAACCCCTGGGACCAGGGACCTTACCTGGTGCCAGTCAGGAGATGGCTACAGGTGGTAATCACCTGGTGTGTCTGTGGGAAGGGGGTGGGTGGGACTTCTTTCAACCTCCGCTTTAGTAATCACAGAGAACAGGGTTGGTGGTAAGGACAAGGATGCAGGCAGTATGGCTTGACCACATTCCTTCCCAAGGTATCCTATGGGAACCCTTCACCATGTTTCCGGAGTGCCCAGTGAGTAGCCCTGGCAGGCCTGAGGCAAACTGTCATGGCCAAGTGACACTTCTCTGGGGAGCCAGGTGTTAAGTGGGACTTGTGCTCCAAGGGGCTGGGTGGAATTGATCTGATACGTTCATGGGGAGGGGTGTTGGCCAGCCTGGACCACTCACTGCTTGGGTGCCCTACTCTGGTCTGTGCATGTGGCAGTGCTGATGACTTCTGGGAAAAGGCCGTGATGTGGCTTGATTTCTTTTCCTGAAGGAGTCCTGTTGTCAGGAATGTTAAGCACTCAGCTGCTAACGGAAAGGCAGTCATCCGTTTGAATCCACCAGGGGCTCTGTAGGAGAAAAACCCTGGCAATCTATTCCCATAGACTGTCATCACTAAGTGTCAGTTTGGAGCCACAGTAACCCTGTATAGGGTTTCCAAGGAGCGGCTGGTGACCTTGAACTGCCGACCTTGCGGTTCAAACAATTTTACAGTCCAGCACATTTAACGCACAGCGCCGCACCAGGACTCCAAAGATTAAGTGCCCTCAAATTGGTTCTGACTCAGTGACCCTGTTTAAGGTTCCCAAGGAGCAGCCGGTGATTTGAACTGATTGGTCCTACAGCGCCACAGCATCTCAAAGATTGCAGCCTAGAAAACCCTGTAGGGCTGTTCTTTGTCCTTGTAGGGTCACTATGAGTTAGAATCAACAGTATACAGCCACAACAGCTGTGAATTCAAGCTCACAGGTAGTTCTTGAGCCTTCAACCCCAATCACCTGGAAAGCAGAAGAGCCCATGCCTCTAGACTAGCAAGTATCCAGCATGATCCGCCAGACTTCACGAGTTGATACAAGAATTGAAAGAGGAACATAGCAAGGAAGTGTGGAAGGCAGTCCAGAGAGGTGGTTCCTCTGACTTGTGTTTACATTTAGTCTGCCACAACACCTTAAATACTGTTAAGGGAAGAACACCAAAACCCACAATTGTGAAAGAGTTGATTCTGATTCGGAGGCCCTCCCTATAGGGCAGAGTAGGACATCTTAAGGTTTCTGAAACTGTAAGTCTTTCTGGGAGCAGACGGCCTCGTCGAGGGACTGGTGAGTTCAAGCCACAGTCCTTGCAGTTAGCAGCGCAGTGCTGAGGCCCACATACAACCAGGGCTCCTCATTAAGGGGACACAAGTCGCTAAACGCTCACATCTCTCCAGCATAGTCGGTGATTTGTGTAGTGTCTCCTGAGTTCTTTTTGTCTATGTGTAGGTATAACCTGAAGTCCGGGTGTGGCACTGTAGGAAAAGCACTGGACTGCAAGGTTGGTTTGAAACACAGGATCAGTGGTTCAAACTCACCAGCTCCTCAGAAACCCTTTACAGAGTCGCTGAGTTGGAAGCGACTCAGTGGCACTTAGCGACAATAGATATAACCTAGACTAGCAAGGAGATGAGGCTGTGGGGAAGAGGCACAGGCACGTTTTCCTTCCTGTAAAATGGCAACAGGAAGCAAGTGGTGGTTAACGGATTGAAACTGATGGAAATGCGAGCACTCCTGTCTCTAGTATCACTCAGATACTAGAAACTCACCATCTTGAATTCTTTTCCATTTTGAGGCCAACATTTATTCTGTTGCCATTTTCCCCAAGAAGTATGACTAAAAACTGAGCAATATGTGACAAGAAAAACACATGGCTGGGCTGAAAAGATCAATATGAAAAGTTGGCCAAGCTTCCCGTTTGCCTTTGTGTGGAGGCATAGCTGTAGTGGTGACTTCAGCCACAAGGTGGCAGGCCACATCACTGAAACCTCTCCCAAATGTAAAGGGACAGCTTGGGGGTTTTTATCCCCCTGGATTTATAAATTGTTGAAACAAGGGGAGGATGAAGTGGACCTCCACCTACAGAGGGCATTTTGCAAGCTATTTGTGCACAGAACTGGCACAGCTAGAAGCAGAGAACCATTGGGTGTTAAGTGCTGTCGAGTCAGTTCTGACTCAGTGACCCTATAAAGGGGGTTCCGAGGAGGTGAGTTTGAACCACTGACCTTGCTCATCATATTGTGGCAAAAAGGAATGTGAAGTACACAAGGGTATTGGGAGCAAAATCTAAAGAAAGTGTACAGAGACGGAGCAGCAGCATAAAGACAGCCGAGCTTACCCCCTTGAACAGGAAGGCACTTGCAGTAAACGCTGGTGCCTGATGGGCCTGGAACTCCCAGACCCACTTCCCCACTGCAGCACCATTCCGTTAGCGCCTCAGGCGGAGGAAAAACAGACCCAGACCTCCCTTTCCCACAGCTCCAGCTGTTGTCGTTCCTGGTTAGAATCTTGGTCTTCAAGGCCCAGAAGATACAACGCCTCTGAGGACTGGTTTCCACCAATGCCTTCTGGTTAACAGCACCACCAAATGTCACTACCACTTAGCACTTCTTTCACCATCCCACCACACACAGACTCCAAAAAGTGCCTTCGTCCAAAAGTTCCTAGCTAGGGCTTAAGACCCCAAGCTGCACTGGAGGGTCTTGGACTCCCCTCTTGGCCAAGCCAACTCTGCAGCAGATCTGAAAGGTCTCACTTAAAAATAAAAAAGGTCCTATGTAGCCACTGTTGAACTGCAAGATCTTATCTCCTGTCCTTTCATTAGTGAATAAAGGTAATACGCTGAAGCCAAATTAAGTGAGCTAATACATTGCTCTGGTGATTTTAAGGTGTCTGAACTGGAGACCCATGTTACATTTAGCAGCTGAGGGGCAGCTGAAACCTGAGTCATCACAGAAAGCCTCAGGACACTGATGTTGATGCTTAGTGGCCCAGTAGGACTGAAAAGCCCATGTATGTTGCAGATGGTGTCATCAAAGCAAACTTGTTGCCTTTGAGTCGATGCCTAGTCAATGACCCTCTAGGACAGTAGACTGCCCCGAGGGGTTTTCAAAGCAGTGAAAGCTGACTGCCACATCAGTCCCCTGTGTAGCACCATGTGGGTTTGAACTGCCAACTTTTCAGTTTGACACCATCCCCTCAATTATCAGGGGTCTTAGTTAACGCCTTAGAGTTGGGGTCTGTCAAGGAGGGAACAAAAGGTTGGGGACGAGGTGACTGCTGCAACCAGCTCCAGCCTCCCCTGTACCTCTGATGGGAAAGAGGCTCATCATGACTACAGAGGGCTCTAAAGCAGTTGGGGACTTCCATATCCACTCAAAGGAAAGAGATTTTTCTGGCCGTGTTCCAATATCAGATCTCCTACTGGATCCCAGTTCTATCACGTGTGTGTGGCTTATTTTAGTGTGGCACCAGTACCCAGAAATCCAGACTAGAGGCTACCTTTTCCTACTTGGAGCTGCACACTAGCCTACAGACTGAAGACAGGCTTTCATGAGTCCACACACTCTTGTCCTCACGTTGGTTCTGACTCCTGGTGACCTCAAATGAGCAGAATAGAATTGCACTGCAAAGGGGTTTCAACACAGGAAGAAAGCAAAAGGTCATAAAGACAAGAAAGAAGGAAAAGATCAAAATGAATGTCAGAAGAGACA